GATTTGTTGTGTTGAAATAACTAAAAATGGTGGGAAAGAGGTAACTCAATTGAGTCTCCTTTCTCTCAGCTATGAAACATGAAGTAATCGTGCTTTAGAAATTAATGATTGCATAGTATTATCATTCCTTTATTGCCAAAATAAATGAGAGAAGGCTTGAGAATCCAGACTTTAACTTCTAGACTACACAGTTACATATGATAGATTTTAAAAGGATCCAGTTTGGGACATTTACAGTTAGAGAAACAGCTAAAAAGACAAGTATTCAAACAGCCGAACAACTGGTCAAAGCTTTTACTCAAAACTCATATTGAGAATATGTCTGTGTGAGCTAATTAACGGGAGTATTGCAACTGGTGTTTAATACTGCACATACGAGTGGAACTGATCTGGACAGATGTGGTCAGCGGACCTCAAACAGCTCTTACACAACAGCATCATTTTTTCCTTTACTGGGCGGCCAAGACAGAGAAATATTCTTTAAACACAAACCAAAGGAAAACAGACTGACTGTGGGTACAAACAGTATTTGTATACTGTATGCGCAAGCAGGGCCTATTCTCTCAAGCGCCAAACCAAGCAATGAAATAATGTGCAAACATGCCTCTGAGAAAAGATGAGTCTGCATAACAACGCGTGCCAGCGTCCTTGTCATGGAAACCCATCCTGAGCCCAGGCCATTCATCGGGGGTGCAGCTGGTACATGTCTCTATGGATGTTCCTCTCCGGTCCCACTCTGCTGGGACAAATCATCATCATCATCCTCATCCTCCTCCTTCCTCCCACCTTTGGTTGATCAAGCTGTTTCCATCGTGTAGCTAGAAACCAACCCCACCAGGGATAGCCACTTATCCACTCACAGCTACTTGCAGACTTAGCAATGACAAACCATGGGGATAAGGAAACTCCCATGAGGCCACGCACAAAAACTGGAGCAACAAGTAGCACAAGAAAGGAGAGGGTTGACACCAAAAGATCTTATAACACAATGCCCATTCAAAGTCAAATAAAACTGCATGGTACCGACAACGACCCGGCCTTAAGTTGCTCCATGAGAAAAGGGTTGGACAATATGGAGAAAGTACATCACGTTACTGTAATGCAGCTTTTAAAAACAGTACAAGACAACACGTGTGCTATATTACATACAAAATCTAAGACGATATCTAGTCTTATATCCCTGTGATTATGGTGATTGATGATTAAAAAACATCTGCAGTGTGTAAGATGATTGAAAAAAAGCATTGCTCATTTGCATACCCTGTCACAGGACTTTATTATAAAAAATAACCTATTGCATTAACCTGCAATTATTATCAGTGGTCATGTGCAGAGGGGAAGCTTTTGTTCTCTGCCAGTAATTAAGAGGAGTAGTTTGAGCTAAGCTTGCTTTAAATTCCTCCAACTTATTTGCATTTACATCGAAGCTACTGGTACTTGGTGTCATTTACTATCACTAGTCATTGGGTACATTTGCAATCTATGACAACAAACTTTTAGAAAGATGAACATGAAAACATAGGTGAAGAATGGAGGCCGTGGAAAGTCAAGCCACATGACGCAATCAACACTCCCTGATAACCTAACAGTGACCGTCATTAGCTTTAACTAAACCACGAGTAGATAACAAACATGGTTGTTTAGCCAGTCGTCAATAAAGTTATTACAAAGCGTTTCGATTGCGTCGTCGTTGTTCTTGTGGCACTTTAAGGTCAAACTGGAAGAGGCACGCAAACTTTTAAAGTGGTTTGTACAACCAACAAAAAAGTTTTGCATTTTGGTTGAGTAACGTAAACTGAGCTTGACATTTACCAACATTAGCTTTTGACACTGTAGGCTGTGTAAGTTATAGCTTCTGTAGTTATCCAACGAAAAAACACAAAAAAAAAAAACTGAGAAAACGTGTCTTTCCGTTGTTTCAGCGACCGGTTTAAGCGCTTATTAGCGTAGAGTTGACATTACTTTGACGCTAAATATTTTAACGGTTATGTGTGACGTCACCCAAAGCACTTTTTAGCAACACTTACCGTTAGTCTTGTAAAACTTAGTCGAGGAAACTCGCCCTCACGCAAACTCCCAACTACGACTGATCCTCGCCAGCTGTGTGTGTGTCGCGGAAGACGAGCCGAGCCGAGCCAGTCGCTGCGGGTTAAACTAGCGTTGGTTTAGCTGGCTAGCTAGCTATAGCAGCCACACACAGTTATGTTTTCGGGTTTCTTTTTAGCGACATATTTAACGGTTTAATTCTTACCAGCCGGTCTGCCTTTGTCCCTTTGTCCGGTTAAGTAGCCGTTAGCCGTTGGTATCCTCCACAACACCCGCCCTCCATTGCACGCCCGATATGCTCTGAAGTTGACGCCGTGTGGTCGCTCTGATGAGCGGATGAACACAGTCAGTTTCTCCTCCCCTTCACTGGAAACCCCAAATTACACCATGTGCCTACAAGAAAGCCCCACTTTCGTTTTAAAAACACGAGAAAATGATTTACACAGTGTTGTGCGTGGATATTCGAGTAGCGCAGAAGTACTAGTATCGTTAAACTAAAAGGGGTAGTGGTTTCTATTTAGTATAACGTCCCGGATTTAAGGTAGAATTAGTGGGTAATGTTAGGCCTGGATATGTTTATTCTTCAAAAATATAAAAACAAAAAATGCTGTACAAAGGCTATAGACACAACTAACACTAAGAGTCATAAGAATGAAGTTATTAAGAGTAAAAGGTTATACTACTACTACTAATAACAACTTTATTTATATAGCACCTTTAAAAACAGAATGCTTTGACAGACAAAGCAGCAAGAGCAAGGTGTTAACGTATAATAATAAATACATAGCTTAGATGTATGAGACTTGAAACTTTACCTTAAGCGTCAAAGATGAGTGACTTTATGCCTGAAACCCTGATGTGACCTGAGACTTCAAAGCCACACCATGATCAGTTTTTACCCGTTATATACATGAAAAATGACACCAGGCAGTGGGTGACTTAACAATAAAAAAAAGAAAGATCAACAAACTGATCAAACAACGTTTCAGGTCCGGAACTTACAACAAAACAAATGTTGACTAAGCTGGTCATGATTTTTAACATAATCTTTGTGTTGCAGGTTTGTTTCCGTTTGTGCATTCATGGATTCCTGGTGATTAAATTGAGTCATTGTTTGAATAAAGCCACATGTTCTAAAACAGGACCAAAAACAACAAAAGAAAACAAATTTCACATTCATACAAGAGATTATATTTCACAGTCAAGGTAAGTAACAATTTACATTTACTTATTTAATTTGACTTAATCTGTGCTGGAAAGTAACAACGTATATTTACTTCAGCACCTTACCTAAGTACTCATACTTTACTTGAGTATTTCTAGTTTCTGCTACTTTTTTTACTTCTACTTTAATAAATGGTACTTTTTTTTTTACTTCACATTCATTTAATAACTTGAGTTACAAGTTACATTTGCAGATTCAGATGGATAAAGGATTATAAAAATATTATAGATTCCCCTGGGGGAAATTCTACTTTTGGTACTTTGATATACTTTGTAACTGAGTATTTCTAATGTTAGACAGTAGTATTGCATCCTTAACTTAGGTGTAAGACCAAAGTAGTTCTTCCACCTCTGATCACATTCATATCCTTGCTAATGCCAGTTCTTATTAATAAAAGCCAAACAGAAATATAGTGTAATTACTTGACAATAACAATACATACAAAATCACTTTATTCTGTGGCTGCCTGTACACTGACTGCTCTTGCTCGATGTTTTTGATGGGATAGAGATATAGAATGGCTGTCCAACCACATCTGTACCAGCTATTTCATCCCAGGCCCTCCGGAGCTCAAACCAGCAAGGATGCTTTGGTGTCAGCCTTGTGGTGTAGACTCTTCCCTGGAAAGTACTTTGGTCCAAACCACAGGCTGGATCAAATCTTTGTCGAGATATCCCACTTTCCAGACCTGGCAACCTGGCCACTCCGTCAATACTATTTTGACCAGGTCACCTACAAACTTCCTACCAGAGACCAAGTGAAACACAGGTGATTTCCACTGTAATGTTTTACATCAAGTCATATTTAGGGGGGGGGGGAGGCGCTCCCAAACCTGTAAAAGGTTACCTTGGAACTTCTGATCGGGAATAATCCATTTTTAGATTCTCTCGTTTCTTCAAGTTAATGTACGACAGTAAAACCTGACCTGTTCTTCAAGGGCCTTTGGACCTCGAAGGGAGTGTTCAGATCTTTTGACGTGGGCTTGTATGGCGGTCGGCACACCTCCTGTTCAGATAAGAGTTACATCCGTCTATGCTCTCTTCAAAGCCACAACTTGTGTAACTTTGGTGATTTAGAAACACCCAACCCATCTATGTGGATCCTGACTATTGGTTGACAAAGGTCATATTTGCTGTGTAGCTTAGTCTGCAATTAGTTTTTTCCAGCACTGATACTTGGACGCTGTACTGAATGGTCTTCCCCCCTCTTGTGGCCTGAAGGGAGAGCTGCAACCTCCAGCTGCACTGTTTCGACTCATGGGCCGACTTAAAACAAGAGAGGCAGAGGGCCACGGAGCGACATGGCAGACTGTGTTTAAGCACCAATCGTGAAACCCGGCCCAGCACCGGCATCCGCCTGACTGGACTGGGTCAACTCCAAAATCCAAGCACTGGCAGGAGTATATCCACAAAAGAGTACATTTATATGATGTATGGCCACAGCTGCTAACTGCCAACAATCTGAAGCTTTTGTCTCATTGTCATAAATACAACCTGTTTTATTAGAGAAATGAACATTGAGCATGTGTCTGATGTGATACAAGCATAGATAACACTTTAATGCGTGTGTGTGGGAGGTATTAGTTCATATTTGAAAAGTAAATATCAGGCTAATACACAATTTATTCACACAGAATTTACCATCTACTTTAGCAAAATGTTGCTAGCAGGATAAAAGTGGTAATCTTCAATTAAAAGTGATATATTTCAAGGCAGAAAAACAACCACCATTTACGTTGTATTATTGAAAACATCTTTAATGGATATTTTTATTGTAACGTATTCTTAGGTGAGTACATATAGATACAAATGTTCTATCCTAGCTACAGTCAGGGCCAGATATTGTTAGGAACCAGTAGAGTGCCTGTACAAAAAGCACTCCTTCACATAGTAGTGTGTCTTCTCAAGGCTGACAGGTCAATTCTGACATTAGGCCTTGTGCTGCAGTGGGGAAACTTAGTCCAAATATCAATGTCAGGGACTGCAAATCCTCAAAAGACACACTGTAGATACAGACACACAGACGTAAATCAATAACAAACGTGTGTGTGTCTGGACACCTTTTTTGTTTTTTACCCCCCCCCCCCTCCAAGAAGTATTTTTTCTCTCTACTTGTAGAACTCGTGCTCCTGCTCGTCCTTTTTGATGACGGTCTTGTAAGCTTTTTCGAAGTCTTTGGCCAGGACGATATACCTGTTCTCACGCACTGCCAACATGCCAGCCTGAGACAGCAGAGGAACAAATAAACAGAAGGAGAACATCTTAAAAATATATATTTATGATTATACACAAAGTAAAAGATAGTTTTATTTTTTCTCCCCATTCCCTTTCAAATCAACAGATAATTAAAGCTCTAGCTCACCTCCTGGCAGATGGAGTTGATATCGGCTCCAGAGATCTTGTCTGGTCTGGCCACATCTGTACATCAGTTAAGGACAACTGAACAATACATCAAAGCAACAGAACGTCAGAGCGGAGATAAAGATTAGTGTGCAAGTCAACACTCCTATAGGTAAACATTATAAAGTTAGATTCTTACATCAAGTTACCAACTGATTATATTTCATTTTGCTCTATTAATATACAATATCGTCAAATTTACTATTTTGTACGAAATAAACTGGTTTTATGTCAACACAAGCTCCACCCTGTCGTAAGGTTTACAGCGGTAACGATATGCGATTTTAGCATCTGACATTTAGCCAACTTCTCATCATGAGCTCAATAACTACTGACCCAAATAGACCGGTTAAGTACTAGACTAACACATGTACCACCCAGTACTGCGCACACACACATTAATGTAAACACCACTTCAACGCGTTATTGAACATAAAGGATACAGTCTTCCAGGTCAACCTCCTCAGAGAGATTCATTTTACTGGTGATTGTGGAGAAAACGAGACGTTTCTGCCGGCGGTCGGGCAGAGGGAACTCGATCTTTCTGTCCAGACGACCAGGACGAAGCAGGGCCGGGTCCAACGTGTCTGCTCTGTTGGTGGCCATGATCACCTGAGAGGGGATTCAAATGTGAGCATGATGGTAAAAATTCAGACATGGCGTGAAATGAGGGGGGCATTTGGTTCCACATAAAACATTTGCTTCTGGACTGAACGCACACATGGTGTTTTCATTGAAATTTATGAAGTCGGAACCCCCCTAGAAATGTAATTATTAACAGACGAAACACTCCTTGAATATAGCAGCCACCTTCTTTATGGACTGAAGGCTATTTTTGTGCAAGTCTGTGCTGCATGTCCTTGAAAGCAAAAGTCCATTTAAGGTTTTGAAGATTGACAACATGCTTGCTAAGGGGAATGAATAGACAGAGGGCACAGTGAATGAAGCTCAAGCTCCATCAAGAGCTTTCTCTGACAGGTGGAGTAAGTTCACCTTGACATTGACGGTCTGGTCAAAGCCATCCATTTGATTAAGCAGCTCAAGTAAGATCCTCTGCACCTCCCTATCAGCTGCAGAAAAAGAGAAAAAACAAGGTCAGACGGAACATTTTTTTACCACGTTGTTAATGCATTTACAAGGATTTGATCAGGGAAACGACAACATTTTAAAATCAGAATCTTGACTTCAATAAGAAAAACTAGGGTACCGTTTGTCCCTAAAAGAGAAAACTACAAACAATACAGTAGTTTGTCTACATGGTCATACCTCCAGTCTGCGCATCAAAACGCTTCGTGGCGATGGCATCGATCTCATCAATGAAGATGATGGCCGGAGCATTTTCCTTCGCCAGCCGGAAGACATCACGCACCATACGAGGGCCTTCACCCAAATACTTCTGAACAAACTCAGAGCCCACCACACGGATGAACGCCGCTGGGGACAGAGCGATTGGACAAAGATTATATCTTCTATTCACTATGGATACTCCTTATCAATATTCCATAACTAAAATAGTGTCTTTGTTGTTTTAAATAATGACATATGTGGTTTATGTAAACATTAAGGGGGAATTGGCTTTTTGTCTACTTTGAAATAAAACAAGATATCTCAGTACATTAACACATGAAGGTCTCTCATGTGGAGGACTTACCTGTAGTGTGGTGCGCCACAGCCTTGGCCAACATGGTCTTGCCACAACCTGGAGGTCCGTACATAAGGACACCCCTGGGTGGGTCAATGCCAATCTGAGAAAGGAAATAGACCAGTTAATGTGCGTCTAGTGCGGGTTTTCCAAATTTCTATAAGAGCAAATTTGTGTTATTTCACGAGTGAGAGTGTAAAATCCCTGAAAAGCATTTGTTGTCCATGTAGAAAAAAGTCAAATTTCTCTAGAATATCTGACCTGTTTGTAGAGCTCAAAGTGTGTCAGTGGCAGCTCAACAGCTTCTCGAACTTCCTGCTTTTGAATGTCCATACCACCAATGTCAGCATACATCACATCTGGCTTTTGGTCTGGGAGCAAAAACACAGCGAAAAGGGAAAGTTATCTTTGTGATTCAAACATCGTCAACTTCGTACAAGTAGTCTTCTGGTGGCAGGGAGGACGAAATTAAACGATGACTTGTTTCTGTCCCTTTGGATTTAATAATCATGACTATAGAATATTACATTTATGTATTTTTATCAGATTTATAAAATAAATTAACCACCAACTGATCAAGAATTCAGTGGTTGAACTGCAGATAGTAAAATCTTCTGTGACACTGGAAGAAAAACATCATCTCCTCATCAGACCACGGCCGTCTTTGTTGAGGAGCAATTAAAACCGAACCAGAGAACCTCCGGGAGAAAGCGGTTGCGAGTGCTTTACCTGACGTCAGCATCATGATGCTGCTGTCAGCTTCAGGAGGGAGCACATCCACCAGAGCGTTGCTGTGCTTGTGCAAAGCCACCGAGGCGTTGGGCTTCAGCAGCTCTCTGTCGATGGTGCTCAGGATGCGCACATAGTAGTTGGACCCTGAGAGCAGAACAAGGGAACAGAACTCATTACAGATTTAGAACTTGTACTCTACTCTGAATAATTCAAATTTGACAGCACATATCTTCTAGGTTGTCTCTCAAGACCCAAGAACACGATAAAGCATTCAAATAAACAGCATGATTGCCGTTTCATTCATTTTTAATTATCTGCACTTTGTGTTTTACAATCTATTTTCCGTCAGTCTTTTAACGCACACTTTTTTGTTATCCGTTTATCTCTTGGAAAGTTAATGCTCGTAAGAATTGAATTGTTCATTCAGTACAGAAAGTACCCTCTTAATATTAAGCTTGACATAAACTTGTGAACAAAATGTCAGCCACAATATGAATATCTGTGAAAAGGACAACACACAACCGGAAACGACAGATTCTTTTGCAGTGTTTTTGAGTGCAAATTAGACCATTTAAATGCTATGATACCACAAATCTGAAATTTCCTCTTAAAATGTATCATAGGTCTTATTATACATAGATTTGTTGTCACTGTTTATGTTCACAGCTGTCCACGTTGGCAGACTATATATATTTTTTTAATGTTACCTGTAGTGGAGCCGACAATGGCTGTGTTCTGGTCAACAGCTTCCAGGAACTGGCCAATGACAAGCGGGATGCTCTGTATCCTCTTCACCTCCTCCTGGGCATGGAGGAACTCTTTCTTTAGGTTCTTCTGTTCATCTTTGATGTACTCCTCCTGCACCTCCAGGAACTCCAGCTCCTGCTGCAGCTTCTGCAAACGCACAACAAAAAGGAAAGATGGGTGAGAGCCTGCTGTAGATGAAAGTACCACACATCTGCTGGCTGCAGATCATTGACCAACATTGGTAACGTGTGTGTGAACAAGAATAGTTGAACCACTAACAAAAAAAACTGGTCATACTGAACGCTCCACATTGTATCCCATTTCCTTCTGAGGCAGCCATATATACATACACACACATATATACATACACACATATACACACACATACACACATATACACACACATACACACATTTACACATATACATATATATATATACATACATATATATACATACATACATATATATATATATACATACATACATATATATATATATATACATACATACATACATACATACATACATACATACATACATACATACATACATA